GTATGGTACAGAATTCAGCATCCAACTGTTTACATCTATTATCAGTTAAGTGCCTTATACATTCTTGACCAACGTGTGTTAAGTTTAGCAATAAAATACTGATAACACAGATAATGTCTGTATAAGTTGCAGAGAGTTAACCTGATATTTACACCTGTCACGGAATATTAGGAATTAATTGGAATTATCATAAACGTTAATTCACTTTTCAGGTCTTGAATACATGTATATCCTTCACTGTATATAGCTAAAATAAACCATTTATCTCCAGAAGAGATTTTTGTAATGTTAAATATAACATTCAACAAGTATGTAGTACTATTAGTACTATATCAAGATCTCTAAATCTTTCGGCCATATATTCGTGATATGTTTACATAGAGCAGACACTGGAGCTTGCCCTGTTAGCCTCGTTCTGAGAAATCTATGAATATGTATGAGGTAATATTAAGAAGGGTCTATACTTACAAATACCTAGGGCTGTTTGTGCATTTTGTTGAGTTGAATAAGTTACAAATGAAACCAAAACCTTTAGAGACATTATGTTCATATTTCTGCTGTCAAATTGAGCTGAATTATCTATTTATTTCAATAAATAGTAAGTACAATGTTATGGCAAATGTTAAGGACAAAAATAGTAATTGATAATGTCACATTAAGGGCATCTTTGCCAAACCTGTGGCAGTCCTAAGTTCATTTAGCCATCTTGATGTATGTTGCATTAAAAAGTTTTGTTTTTTTAAGAACTCCTGCAGTTGATAACTTATAATATAAGAAATAGTAAACTATTTTATTTGTCAGGTGTGTCAAATTGTCTTATAATGTCCTTCTTATTGAAAGTGATATATACATGTATATGTATAATGAGGATGACAAAATTTGAAGTGTTTAAGTATCTTCAATGTGTTACTTTAATGTATTAAACATAAAAGTGTAATTATTAAATCCTTTGTATCAATATTGAGATCATTTAAATACCACTTGACCTGTGAATATGACCTTAATCAGATTTCTGAATTGAACAATTCAAAAGAGAAATTTCTTTTTAATGTTTTTGAATGGCTTGAAACTACCAGTCAAGTGGTATAATAAAATATTAAAGTTGAGAACAGTAAGTTTTTGTTGACATATAGCTGATATATGACTATTATAATTGAACAAGGTACATCCACTGCTGGAAGATTTGTTTATTATTGACAGGTTTAAGTGTATAATCACTTAGATATCATATATCCAGGCACATTAATTTATGATCTGTATTTAAAGATAAACTATGCTCACCTTTCTAGGATTTAGGAAATCTTACTGAATATGTCCAGTTTTAGTAAGAGAAAGCACAAGCTATGATTTGGAAGTACTTTTCCTGTAACTGGTCAAATTTATTTTGTACTTTCCTGACACTTTTTATTGTCCCTTTGAAAAACGGGTTGTATTAAATAGTTTCCCCCCTGGTGGGCGGTTGGCCGGGTGGCGTCCAATTTTTTTCCGAAGCATATCTCCTACACCCATGGAGGTATTTTAATGAAACTTCATAGAATTGTTAACCACTATGAGAAGCCGTGTCACGCGTATGAACCAGACCTCTAGGTCAAAGGTCAAGGTCACATTTAGAGGTCATTAAAAATCGCTTGTCCGGTGCAAAACTTCTACATGCATAGAGGGATTTCAATATCACTTGGCACAAATGTTCATTATTGTGAGAAGGAGTGCTGCGTGCAAAATTAAGGTCCCTGTGGCCAAGGTCAAGGTCACACATAGGAGTCAAAGTTGAGATAAAAATATGAAAATTTGTATTGGGACCATTTAGTTATCACTAATTGAGGGATTGAAACACAAATGGTCATTATCATGACTACTGGTGTGAAACATGTAATTAAGGTATATATATTCAAGGTCAAGGTCACTAAAGATGATTGTCAAGGTCACTAAAGATGATAAAATATAGAGATTTTGTCCAGAGCATATCTCCTACACATACGGAGGGATTCTAATGAAACTTCATACAAATGTTCACCACTATGAGAAGCCATGTTGTGAGCATAAACCAGACCTCTAGGTCAAAGGTCAAGGTCACACTTAGAGGTCATAGAAAAACGCTTGTCCTGAGCAAAACTTCTACATGCATAGAGGGATTTCAATATAACTTGGCACTAATGTTCACTATTGTGAGGCGGAATGTCCTGTGCAAAATTTAGGTTCCTCTGGCCAAGATCAAGGTCACACATAGGGGTCAAAAGTCACATAAAAAATCACTAGGGATGATAATATATCCAGATATGTTCGGATATTGCCCAGAGAATATCTCCTATAATCATATCTATTATGCCCACATCTGTCAAAAGCTTCTATGACGGGCGTATATTGAGACAATGTTGCCCTTGTTTAACACTATGTTTTCATTCTGTGTTTACAAAAGTGTTTTAAAACTTGGATATACTCAAAGGATGTTTATTTTACATTTAAAAGAGTGTTTACCAATGTATCTGTATTCCAATATAATATAAATGTATATCTTTATGATAATAAGTGATCCCAGTTATAGTGATGGAGTAAAAAGATCAACTGGCCCTCTGTCAAGCATTAGCACTGAGTAATTAAGCTTGTAATCACAATCCCTAGCTGGGATGATAGCTTCCAATTTAAAAATAAATAAGTAAACATTTAAAATTGAAGTTTTATGGCTTTATACAGAAATTCATTTACACATTGGTTTATACATGATATTGATTACAGTTTTATGTGCATAGGAATGTTTCTGAATGAAGTAAATTATTTGCTTCATATATTGCCATATGATTAAAATCTTTAAATGTCTTATGTTTAAATGAAATGATTCACTTTACTTTCTCACTTCACTTGTCAAAGATGAAATACTTTTATAATTTGATTTTGAGAAAATATTTAAACCTCGGTGACATTACTTTGTTGTTATATCTTATTCAGAGGAATATATATATAATATGTTGTGTTTGAATGATCTATATTTATTTAGGTTTAAGTCACACAATATAAAGATATTTATACACCGCTGCCGACCAACAAGTTTCAATAGTGAGTCTCTATTTTTCAACTTAGATGTTTAGCCTTGATTAACCTTTTTGTTTAAGGTCCATTTTCTCAGAAACTATCAAAGATATTCACTTCTAACTTGAAATACATGATTGTACATTATCAAAATATAACACCATTGTAGAAGGGCAGATAATCTGCAAAGGTTTAAATTGATTGAAAGGGTGAAAATGGCAAAGTTTTTGGATTTGTTACTCAAGTTTTAGCTTTTAGCATTTATCTTTTAGGATCAATGTATGTTAGCTGTTCATCCTTTGTCCTTGTATCATTCACAATTGTTGCTGTTTCTGCCAGCTGTTTTATTTTTCAACAGGTTTGAATTAAGCTCTTCACCAAGTGGCTGATAATCTTACAAAACACACATAAGCTGCAATTTTTGAAACTAAAATTAGTGTTAATTAGTATTATAAGGGCCAACATTGGCCTGTTGTTCCCAGATTTATATTAATTTGGCCTTTTGTTCCCCGGATCGTTGTTAATTTGGCCTGTTTTTGCTGAACTGGTGTTAATTATATAAAGTCTGAAAGAAAATCTGAATGTCTTCTTGTTAGTTTTGTTCCCAGGTTATGGAATAATATACATTAATTCTACAGGTATTTATGTTTTCATTTTTTGTAGTGTATACAGAATACACCTAACATAAAACAGTTCAGTAGATCATGACAAAATTGATGATGTTAAAAAGGTTTACAACAGCTGCAATCTGGCTGTTTTCCTGGTAACATTACCACTCTCATTGAATCATTCATATAATCTTCCACATCTACAATGTTAGCATTCCAGGTGTTTTACTTTTTATTTGGAAAAATAAAAGTGTAATGCAAGGGAGACAAGAGAGAAAGAAATATATCTTTGTGATATTGGAATAGTTTCCCTTTAATAATCATGAAAGAGAATGTAGCAATTTTGTTTAAGAAAGGTTAACAATGCTATTTCATTAATAAATTGGGTTTCATATCCAGTTATATCAGGCCTACGTCTAAAGATCTGTACAGACTGACCCGACTTTATACAGTACTGAATAAAGTTAACACAACCAGAAATGTCTATGTATAATGTACCCTGTTATATTTGATGTAAGCTTGTTTAAGATGGTCAGCAGCTACTATCATATAAATCTCAGACCAATAATGATAGTGTAATCAGGTGTCAATGTAATGTATGGAGGATTTTTATTTAGATCATCTATTGGAAAGGGTCAAATGCATTTAAGAGGACTTAAAGCATAACAGACCATCAAGGTCACAGTTAAGTGGAATGATATACAGACAGCTTGAGGTAACATTTAAGGGGACTGCAGTACTGACCACCAAAATCACATTTAAGAAGACAGCCAGCCATAATAGACCTGCCAGATAACATTTAAGGCGACGTTGTACTGACCACCAAGGTAAAGTGTCGTCAGCATAACCGTTTATGTTAAAGTTTGTGCAGCACCTGAAATATTTTCAAAGTCCACTGACATATGGCTTTGAAACATGCAAACTTTTCCACCATCATGCCCTCAACCTGTACACAGGAGGAGGTAACTCTGTCAAGCATTTTGACATTGACAAATGTGCAGGTATTGGGAGCATCCATGGCCTGCTGCAATATTCTTGTTTTTGTTATATACAGTTTTGTAATCAGTAGTGGTGATCCGGATCACCACTACTGTAATCATATAAATTTTTATGTACAGACCACCTCTGTAGAGCAACACCCTTTGTTCAACACTGAGACTTTGTAATGTGTTTGGTTGTTGCTGAGAGATGTTGCTCTGAAAATGTCAAAATCAGTGACCTTAATTTCCGAAATTTGACTCTAATGTTGCAACACAGTGGGCCACTCTGCAGATATTACACTGGTTAGTGTTAAAATGGCATTTTCTAGGTAATAGTTAATCAAAATTTAACATGGTATATAAATAATGTTTGTATATTATATTTCAGGTAAATTTACTGTTGTTACATCATGCCAGCCCTATCTTATTAAACAAAGAAAAGAAATCACCACTTGATCTTGCCTGTGAATTTGGTAGATATAGGGTAAGTAAATTGCTAATATATTGTTATATGCAGGAACTTTATTGTATATTAAAAATCAAATAAGGCAGGATTGCTGAAAGTTTTTAGTTTGATTGTGTTGGCAGCTATAAGCTTATTGAAACACTCTTGAATCTGTTCCTGGAACCAACCAGTACTAAGCAATGAATGTAAAGTTTCTTGCTCAAGGAAACAATGACTTGCCCCTGACAGAGTTTGAACCCATGTGGTCAGCAATCCTTAGATTACTAGTCCGAAGTATTTACACTTGGCCACGCCGCCACAGGATTGTTGTTGTCATTGTCTCATTGGTATCACTTGATTCAAATGTATTATAATCCAAGAAAAAATGATTAGTAGTTTAGCTACCAAAATTCCTGATAGTTACATAATATTGTTATTTTACAATTTACTTACAGAAGTTTTCATGTTAAAATAATAGTAAATAGTACATGTTGATTATGTCAACAAGAATGGAAATCATGAAAAGAAAGAAAAAAAAAATTGTTGTAATTATGTCTTAACTAAGGGCTACTACCAATCTTTACACAATTTGTGTCTGTTTGTCAGGAAATCAGGAAAAAAGTATTACAATTTTGTGAGCCTAACATTAGTTCAATATTACAGGTAGTAGATTTGATGTTAAGGAGCAACCTGTGTTCACCACTACTTATATTAGTTTAATATTACAGGTAGTAGATTAATTTTGTTGTTAAGGAGTAACCTGTGTTCACCACTACTTATATTAGTTTAATATTACAGGTAGTAGATTTGTTGTTAAGGAGTAACCTGTGTTCACCACTACTTACAAGTAACCTCAATGATATGACAGACGGTAAATCAACATGTCTACATCTGGCAGCCAAAAATGGTCATAGTGATATTATCAGGTAAGGTTATAGTGTGAATGGTGCTAGGTTAGTGTGAATGGTGCTATTTGAAATTATAACATTTTTATGCCCCCACAATGTGGGAGCATATAGCGTTGCACTTGTCCGTCCGTCCGTACGTCCCAAAATCTTGTGAACGCAACTCCTCTTAAACCGGATGGCAGATTTTGTTGAAACTTACAGGGATGAACAACCTTAATGTGTAGATGGTAGTAAAGGAAGGAATTTACGCTGCGACCAAATTTTACAGAATTATGGCCCTTTGTTGATTTTTTCACTATATACTATGTAGAAATTTTGTGAATGCAACTCCTCTTAAACTGGATGACAGATTTTGCTTAAACTTCCAGGGATTAACAACCTTAATGTGTAGATGGCAGTAAAGGAAGGATTTTTTGCTGCAACCAAATTTAACAGAATTATGGCCCTTTGTTGATTTTTTCATTATATACTATGTAGAAATTTTGTGAATGCAACTCCTCTTAAACTGGATGACAGATTTTGCTTAAACTACCAGGGATTAACAACCTTAATGTGTAGATGGCAGTAAAGGAAGGATTTTTTGCTGCAACCAAATTTAACAGAATTATGGCCCTTTGTTGATTTTTTCATTATATACTATGTAGAAATTTTGTGAACGCAACTCCTCTTAAACCGGATGGCAGATTTTGCTTAAACTTCCAGGGATTAACAACCTTAATGTGTAGATGGTAGTAAAGGAAGGAATTTTTGCTGCGACCAAATTTAACAGAATTATGGCCCTTTGTTGATTTTTAGTTTTCAACTTGTGGCACATGTAGTCCAAAAAATATTTGACCTAGAGTCATAAGATTGACAAAACAGTGGCGTGTAGGGGCATCCGTGTCCTATGGACACATTTCTAGTTACCTCTTCTATATCAAAGAAAAAGTTCAGTTATTAAAATCGCTGCATTTTCGTCGTCATCATTGTTGTGCAAAAACTTTAAGTGTAGCCCATTATTCAAATATGATAAGGTGCAGTTGTTAGACAAGGGCATACTTTTGAAAGCAATATTTTTGGATCGATGTCCCCTTTTAACTTAGAATTTGTTTACAGACAAATGTTAGAACCACATGCTTTGCTCTTTTCACTTATTAATCAGAAGAGATCAAACCAGTATAATCTTTATTGATACTGATAGATGCTGACACTGTCTTTCCTGGGAAGTATTTATAATACATTAACACTTTACCTGCTGGAACCAAGTGTGGTCAGCCTTTGCCACCAGTATGGAGCAAGGCTAGCATGCACGTCCGTGCAGTCTGACCAGGCTCAATACTGTTGGCAGCATTATTGTATTTTTATATTGAAATCACCTGAACATTGAATGGACTATTTCAAATTCAAAGCTGGACAGATCCATTATAGAAATATTGCAAATTATGGGTGTAATTGTTACTATTATATATTTGTATATATAGAATCTCTAAAATAACTTCAATAGTAAAAGAATGAGAACAAAAAGCAAGTATTATACTTGCAGACATGTTATTTTGGTATGTAATCAGTAATTTATTATGAAGCTTTTATATAACTCTTTTGAAAGTTAATTTGCAAATAAAAGTTTCAATTCTTTTCTGAGAGATCATAATGACTTTTTGCTATGTTCTATAATTATTGAGAGAGTACTAGTGAGAATATGCTTTTTAGCTCAACTTTTTTTTACACTGAGATTTTTGTAAGTTTTTTCTATACTAAGAGGTTTAAATATGTTCTGAGAGGTGAGTGTAGGTCCGAGAGGTTTATGGAAGTCTGTCTACAGAAGTTCTATTGAATTTTTTTATGTTTGTCAGTTTTTAATGCTTTCTGTATTGAACTTGGAATTCTGTGTTGTTTGCAGTGTTATGTTTGGCTTAGTGTTAATAAGATTTTGTATCTTTATAAAATGAAACAACAACAATGAAGTGTGTTTAAGTGTCTATATGTAGAAATACTGTCTGTACTTCAGTGAGATTTAATCTAACATCAACAGTCATAATTTGGTGCCAAGATGATTAAACTTTTATTGTGAATAGTTTTTTTTAATTATTGTAAGAATTCACTGGTACAATTTTATGAGGGAATTAGATGGTTTTGAAGATTTGATGTTATACATAAATTGTTTTAATCCTACTAGACAAGAGGATATGATATTCTGATAAAACATAATACTAGTGTTTGAATTGCTATTGAGGTAGCTTACTTAAAGTTGGTGGTTCTACTCAGGTGCCCACTTGTTCCTGAATTCTGCACATTGCATGAAGGGGCACCTAAGCCCTTCCTTTACTCAAGAGTTTTTATCCAATAACAACATAGAAACAAATTTGGAATTTCTTGGAAAATGATGATGGTGTACATGGGCTTTTGTTATCAAGATTTATCCAGCTTTAACATTTTCATGCCACTGTTTCCTGATAACTGGAAAACTTCTGGTTATTTTTCTGCACAGTGCTAACAAAAAAGATAAAGTAGGTATAAACAAGGGCAGGGTGTATATTTTGATGTTCATTTATCAACTTGACCTGTGTAAGATGGTCTGATAATAATATCAAAGTTTGTTACCTGACTTCCTCTCAAGCTCACACATTTCTATGATATAATCATGTTTATTACTGTTTCAAAGTGCTATCTTTAAACAAGCATAAATGAGATAAATAATTTAAGAGAGAATTAAAATGATTTGTTTTGTTAATACAGGATATGTGAACTTAAGTTATCATATATGTAAATATTTCAATTTGTTATTGAGAAAATTAGTTCAGTTTGAGAACTTCAGGAGTAAAAGTGATAATCACAGGAGATATATTTACTATCAGCTTGTGTAGTTATCATCCTTTCCTTTAATATGTATCGCCTTTTGTAATTCACTTGTAAATTTAATTTATATCAGGTATTTTATTATCCTCATGCCCTTAGAGTATGAATTGTATTTAATTATCCTGAATAGATCTAATTATGCTCATACCCATTGGGGTAAGTATATTATCCTCATATCCATGGAGCTGCTATTAAATTATTCTGATAACTTCAGAGGGTCATGAAACATCATCAGTAACAGCTGACTGTGGGCAGCATAACACAAATGAAAAAAATATTAATTAAAAAGATTCTTGGGAATTTTAAGTTGAAGTGTGTTAAAATGTAGCAAACATTTTATGATTGATGTTAATTATTATAATTAAATTATGAATGGTATTGCTCAAAATTAATGTAAATATTATTATGCAATAATGATTAAATGTAAAAAGTTAAAAAGAAATTAGAATAAATGTGAAACAAAAATGTAATAAAACATTTTATTTCATGCTTTCCAGTGTTTTATTGTAATATATCAAATGATTATATTCTGATAAACCACTAGTGAAATTTATAAAATATAATTTTCACTGTAGCCGAACTATATCTGAATGCGGATGAAAAGAAAATCATAACTAAATGGAATAACAGGCAGAAATAAATGCCGTCATGCGTAAATTTTGCTTCTTTAGGAAAAGAAAGTCGACATCACCATACATCATGTTAAAAATGTAACAAAATAAGAGAAATTTAACAGAACTATATTTCAAAATTGATGATCTGACGTCATGATGTGATGACGTCACAAAGGAGAATGCGCGACATTACGCGGCAAAATCAGTAAAAAAATACTTAAAATCACTTTAAAAGCATGAAATAAAAAGAAAATTTATTTGTTTTTCATATAAGATTGAAATATATTTCATTTGTGAACACCAGCTATTATATTTTCACTCGTGGCTACGCCACTCGTGAAAATATTGCATCTGGTGTTCACTCAGTGAAATTATATTTCAATCTTACATGCAAAACAAACAAATATCCTCTATGTCTGTTGAGGGCTCTGAGTAATTGCCAACATTTTAATACTATTATTTAATATTACAATTATGAAATAATCCAGTCAATTTAGATTCTGTGTTTGTATTTGTTTCTTTCATGTGAACTTGTTTCTTTCATTTAAGTACTGAAAGTTGTTTGTATATGAGGAGCAGTGAGTTGTTATATAAATGAAAAGTGAAAAATTAAATAGTTAGGTAAGAGGTGAGGAGAAGTGAGTAAGTTGTTCAGGGTTAGAGGAACAGTGTATAGAGGAACAGTGTGTAAATTGTTGAGAGTTGTTAGATTATAGATGAGGAGAAGTGAGTAAGTTGTTTAGTGTTAGAGGAACAGTGTGTAAGTTGTTGAAAGTAGTTAGATTATAGATGAGGAGCAGTGTGTAAGTTGTTTATAGTAGTTAGATTATAAATAAGGAAAAGTGTGAAAGTTGTTTAGTGTTAGAGGAACAGTGTGTAAGTTGTTGAAAGAAGTTAGATGATAGATGAGAAGAGATGTGTGTAAATTGTTTAGGATTAGAGGAACAGTAAGTTGTTGAAAGTAGTGAGATTATAGATGAGGAGAAGTGTATAAGTTGTTTCTTGTTAGAGGATAAGTATGTAAGTTGTTAAAAGTAGTTAGATTATAAATGAGGAGAAGTGTGTAAGTTGTTTAGTGTTAGAGGATAAGTATGTAAGTTGTTGAAAGTAGTTAGATTATAGATGAGGAGAAGTGTATAAGTTGTTTCGTGTTAGAGGATAAGTATGTAAGTTGTTAAAAGTAGTAAGATTATAGATGAGGAGTAGTGAGTGCACGATTACCAAGTTACCAAGACTGATTTCCTTGAGTAAATTTGTTGGAAAGTTATCTGAATTGTATTTGTGTCTAGTTTGGTAGTTCATCAGTTAACTAATATTATAAAATAACAGTTGACTGAAAAATATCAACTAATTCAAGTCCTTTTCAATTTCCTGATATTACAAAATGTCTGCAGTGTTTCCTCATGAGGGGATGGTGGGCAGGGGAGAGATGAGTCATGTTATGGATTTGTATGATAATATCAATATAATCCTGAATTAAGTGTCCTTTCTTGTTACATAGACTAGCCACATATAACATCACTATCCACCATTATAAGTGCAAGAAATAATTGTTATGGCTTTTCTCAGTGTTGACCGCATTTTTCCTCTCTGTATGTTATATTTTGTTAGAAAGGTTCCAGGTTAAAAGGTTTTATTGAGAAGATGGTTAATAACAAGACAAAAATCTTACACAATGGATTAGCATTGACATTCAGAGTTTATGTTGTAATGAAATTGTAGAACAATGTGGTGACTTGATTACCTTGGTAGTTCATTTCAGAAAAACTTAGTAAATTAAGGTATTATTTGTTTAGATATCTGGATAATTTTATCCACAAAAAAAAAGAAATAGAAAAACTATATTCTCGGAAAATCAGGACCTCCAGAAGAAAGTGACCTGAATTCTATAATTACTGTTTATTCAAGAGAAAATTATTGCAAAAAGTTTTCAGTTTCAGATTTATTGACAAGAATGTCTGTAAAAAAGTAAAAGTAAGCTTTAATGAATGGTGGTGATTGTCTCAATTTTCTGACAGCAAATTAATTTGTCTATCAGGTTGACTGAATGTGCCAATTGTTAAATGACTATATTACTAGAGAGAGAGAGAAAAAAATGCTGAGTTAGTATAGTAGGACCTTACATTGAGCTGAAGCCAAAGTGTCATGTAAGTTCCCCCTGCCCATGGCTTATAACAGATAGAGAAATAATGATTGGAGAAGATGTGTGCTACAGATAACAGTTCTGCTATTCATTCCTCACAGTTTATAGTTGCCACCTAGTTTTTTGCTTCCATCTTAGAGGTTAAGAAACTGGAAAGACCAAAAATTATTTACATATTGGAATAAAGGATGATAACAATGTAACTTACGGGTTGTGTAAATATTATACAATTCCAATAGCAGCTAACACCTGTTTTCTATAGATTAAGTTGTTTGGGTCAGTTTTTGTGCTGTCTTGTGCCTCATTTAAATACAGTGGAGTTAAATAGACTGTTATCAATGTGCATAGTGTGATTGATGTGATAAGTATTTGGATTCATTAATGGCATATTGTTCCGTGGAAATATATTGATAACATATCTATTTTAGCTGTATTATATACGGTGGATTTAACAAAGAAAAATATTGGATTTTGCTAAATAGTAGATTGTGTTCTATTTTTTGCACACTTATAAAAGGAGACGCAGAATTTCAGAGAAGATTGTTTTCTTCCTATAATTGCTTTTCTCATAATGCTTTTAGCAGAAGTGTGTTAAAAGTAAAGGTTTTAAATGTTGTTTGTATGGCATTGGTATTGAATTGTGACATTTAAGTTTAATAATGGAAAACAAAGGTGCCAGTGCTAATTCAAGCCCGTCAATGTGCCGCAGCAAGCGTTTAAGCATGCCACGTATGCCAAGCCTTCCTAATCTAACACTTGCTGGACTCAAGGAGAGATTGTCACCTAGAAATAAGAAGAAAAGGTACAGACATGTGTATTGTCAAATATTGATTTTAAAATTATGATAGATAAGTCTTTTTAAATGGGTTAAATGAGAAGTTTCTGCATGCTTATAAAAATAGAATGTCTTTGATAATGAACAAAATATAAAAATGGTTCACTATATATGACAATACTATTTATTTATAGTGTAAATTAAGATAAAGGTTAATTGCATGATCATATGATCAAGGCCACAGGGACCTACATGTATTATAACAAAATGTACAACTGGCCATTGATTAAGGAACTTGAAACTTTGTATACAGACGCACCTTGATAAGTCCTACCCACCATACTCATTTTGGATAAAAAGGCCAATTTAGCCACCATTACCTTTGTTAACTTGTTTGGTTAAGCTAAGAGCCTAACCCAAACCCTTGCATTTCCTTTATGATCTTTAATTGTTGTTTTATTTGGGATCATCATGTTTATGCTTTTCAATTTATTATTGTGTGTATTGATATATTTTGATTTGTGTTATTATTTTCTATTCACTTCCTTATAATAACTGTCATATACTGCAGTTCATACTGAAAAAATCTGTCCAGAGAGTTACCTGCCTCTGAAATGTTTTAAGATGTGCTTTGTTATCCAACTGTATATTTTATCTTTCTATCTTTAATGTTTTTTAGCAGAAATTCTTGGATAACAAAAACAACATTTTTATCTGACTTGATGTTATCTAATGTAGTATTGTTGAGCAAATGAAGCATAAGCTTTAACATTTTTCTGGAACTGACATTTTTTTAGCTCACCTGTCACAGGGTGAGCTTTTGTGATCGCTTTTCGTCCGGCGTCCATCCGTCGTCCGTCCTTAAACGTTTACTTTAAATGACATCTCCTCATAAACCACTAAGCCAATTTCATCCAAACTTCACAGGAATGTTCCTTTGGTGGTCACCTTTATAAATTGTTCAAAGAATTTAATTCCATGCAGAACTCTGGTTGCCATGGCAACCGAAAGAAAAAACTTTAAATATCTTCTTTTAAAAAACCCTAAGAGCTAGAGCTTAGATATTTGGCATGAAATATCTTCTAGTGAGTGTCTATCAAGTTTGTTTAAATAAAAGCCCTGGGGTCAAAATTGGCCCTGCCCCAGGGGGTCATTGATTTTCCCTATATGCATATAGTAAAAACTTTGAAAATCTTCTTTTAAAGAACCCAAAGAGCTAGAGCTAAGATATTTAGCATGAAACATCTTCTAATGAGTGTCTACCAAGTTTGTCCAATAAAAGCCCTGGGGTCAAAATTGGCCCCGCCCAAGGGGGTCATTGATATTGACCCTATATATATAGTAAAAACTTAAAAAATCTTCTTTTAAAGAACTCAAAGAGCTAGAGCTTAGATATTTAGTATGAAACATGTTCTAATTGGTGTCTACCAAGTTTGTTCAAATAAAAGCCCTGGGGTCAAAATTGGCCCCGCCCAGCTGGTCATTGATTTTCTTTATATGTGTATAGCATGTATAGCAAAAACTTAAAAAATCTTCTTTGAAAAAACCCAAATAGCTAGAGTTTAGATATTAAGCATGAAACATCTTCTAGTGAGTGTCTACAAAGTTTGTTCAAATAAAAGCCTTGGGGTCAAAATTGGCCCGGCCCTGGGGGTCATTGATTTTCCTTATATGTGTATAGCAAAAACTTAAAAAATCTTCTTTGAAAAAACCCAAATAGCTAGAGTTTAGTTATTAAGCATGAAACATCTTCTAGTGAGTGTCTACAAAGTTTGTTCAAATAAAAGCCCTGGGGTCAAAACTGGCCCCGCCCCAGGGGTGTCATTGTTTTTAACTATATGTGTATAGTAAAAACTTAAAAAATCTTCTTTGAAAAAACGAAAAAACCCAATGAGCTAGAGCTTAGATGTTTAGCATGAAACATCTTATTGGTGTCTACCAAGTTTGTTCAAATAAAAGCCCTTGGGTTAAAATTGGGGGGGGGGGGGGGGGGAGGCCTATATACAGGTGAGCGACCTCAGGGCCATCATGGCCCTCTTGTATTGTTAAATTGTAAACTTTCAGAAGTTATGCATTTCTTAAATTTTTTTGTTTGTTGTTTTTGTGGACATTTTAGTGAGCATAGAAATCATTAATAGATAATGGTAAAACCACACATTACTGATGGTTACAAGGTGTTTTAAAATACCTGTTTTTATCATCAGTTGTTATGCACAATGGAGCATTTATCTCCACGACTGGGATATAGACAAGATTTTTTTTTCAGGAATTAAATAGATAAATTAACCATACTGGCTTTGCACCTGCTTAGAATTAATTTCATTTATCTGAGAAAAATGTTTTAATGAAAATTGTAATCCAGTAAGATATGTAGATATATTGTATGTATATACCTGTCAGTATCTATGACCATTTCTTATAGGTTACTGAAATTCTAGCAAAACTGATTACTTTGTGATTCTGCTACTGAAATTTTAGAAATTTAAACAGCTGCTTGGATTTAATTACTACTAGAAACTTTCTATTGTTAATTTAATGAACTACATAAAGTCTTACATTTTGTCTCTGTAGAAAATATTATTATTTAAATATCAAATAGAACTTTTACATTTATACTAAAAATTTTGTATAATTAAGATTTCTGTAAAATGCCCACACATTTAATTGTAGCATATGATTTGTGTCAATTTGTATGTCATTCTCCACAATTTTTGTAACAACATGGCCTCCTGAGCCAAACTTGACAGGAATTATCTTTATAATTATGTGGCCATCTACAAAGTCTATATAGTTAGTGACAGTCAGATACATACGTAACATAAATAGGTTGCTTTAAAGCTAAAACATCATCTTCTCAGAAACTACATTGCCTAGAGCTTGGATATTTGGCATGTAGCATTTCCTAGTGAATCTGTACAAAACTAGTTCCTTGGGTGAAAAACGGCTGAATTACTTCTGCTTTGAAGAATGGTGACCCTTTCTGGTGGATAATAAGGACCATCATAGCCCTCTTGTTTAATTTACCAATGTTCAGATACTTGAAATAATCTGCATATGATGATACTAGGTTATTAGCTGTATACAGGAATAAACACTCCTCCCTCTTGTTGATATCAAAGTTGGATTGTCCATTTAATATTATTTAATTTGTTAAGAGAAGGCATTATCAATATCATGAATATCTTTGTTAAGTTAATTTATTATAGGTCTCAGGACCATTGAATAAAAATGCCATTAAATGTAATTACATTAATTTTGATATCTGTAGAGATAGATACTTGTTTTTGAAGTTTGATCTGTAAAATTTTTTTTTTTTGTGAATGATATTTGTATATTAGAAATGATTTTCAACAATTGGAAAATATGCAAAAACAACTTGAATGATATTGTTATGAAGTTATGAGTTTATATACATGTATTTTCAGATTGCTGTTACAAGGTGGTATAAACATAAACAGAACTACACTTCAGGGGACATGTCTTCATGAAGCAGCCTTATTTGGAAAAACAGATGTTGTCAAACTTCTTCTAGATGTAAGTTTACATTCATATAACAGCTTGAATGAACATCATTTTTTTACCACATTATATATTGTCTTATTGATCCTTCAGCGTGACATTGTTGTTTGCATTTTTAGCTCGACTTTTCTATGAAAAGGGGAGCTATCCTACTCGCCCCGGCGTCGGCGTCGGCGTCACACCTTGGTTAAGTTTTTCGTACCACCCCACTTTATTTCAGAAGTATTACAAGTATGGCTTTGAAACTTACCATACTTGTTCACCATCATAACCTCCATCTACAGACAAGAGTACATAACTCTGTCAAGGTTTTTGACAGAATTATGGCCCTTTTTTGACTTAGAAAGTGTATTGAGCTTGGTTAAGTTTTTTGTACCACCTCACTTTATTTCAAAACCATTGGAGGTATTGCTTTGAAACTGACCATACTTGTTTACCATCACGACCTTCATCAACAGACAAGAGGACATAACTCTGTCAAGGTTTTTGACAGAATTATGCCCCTTTTTGACTTAGAAAATACATTGAATATGGGTAAAATCCACTTATTGCCTTAACCCTTTGAGATATTGCTTTGAAACTTTTAATGCTATTTCACATCATTACCCCCATCTGTACGCAAGAGAAGGTAACTCTGTCAAGGATTTGTTTTAAAAATTAAGGCCTTTTATCGACTTAGAATCTTGGTTAAGTTTTTAGTACCAGTCCACTTTTTGACTGAACTGTTTGAGATATTAATTTGAAAGTTGGAATACTTGTTTACAATCATGATTCCCAAACATGTCCAGGAGAAGGTAATTCTGTCAAAGATTTTATTTGAATTATGGCCCTTAACTGTCAATGTTTTGTATTATAGGCAAGCACTAATAAACTTAAAAAATCTAAAAAAATTCATTCCTATCCACTTGTTCACTTTACCATAAATTATGTCATATAAACATTGCTGTAATATTCAAGGGTATCAAACAACTAGTTCACTTTAAAAATACAGAGATTCTTGTATTGCCTTTTACTGCAAAAACTTTTTTTATTGGCAAGCAATAAAAAAGTCGAGCGCGCTGTCTTACGGACAGCTCTTGTTAGCTCACCTGTCACAAAGTGACAAGGTGAGCTTTTGTGATCGCTTTTAGTCCGGCGTCCGTTCGTCTTCCGTCCGTCCGTCCGTCCGTCTGTAAACTTTTACTTTAAATGACATCTCCTCATAAACCACTAAGCCAATTTCATCCAAACTTCACAGGAATGTTCCTTTGGTGGTCACCTTTAAAAATTGTTCAAAGAATTTAATTCCATGCAGAACTCTGTGGCAACCGAAAGAAAAAACTTTAAATATCTTCTTTTAAAAAACCCAAACAGCTAGAGCTTAGATATTTGGCATGAAGCATCTTCTAGTGAGTGTCTACCAAGTTTGTTCAAATAAAAGCCCTTGGGTCAAAATTGGCCCCCGCCCCAGGGGGTCATTGATTTTCCCTACATGCATTTAGTAAAAACTTAAAAAATCTTCTTTTAAAGAACCCAAAGAGCTAGAGCTAAGATATTTAGCATGAAACATGTTCTAATGGGTGTCTACCAAGTTTGTTCAAATAAATGCCCTGGGGTCAAAATTGGCCCCGCCCCGGGGGTCATTGATTTTCCTTATATGTGTATAGCAAAAACTTCAAAAATCTTCTATGAAAAAACCCAAATAGCTAGAGTTTAGATATTAAGCATGAAACATCTTCTAGTGAGTGTCTACAAAGTTTGTTCAAATAAAAGCCCTGGGGTCAAAATTGGCCTCGCCCCGGTGTCATTGATTTTCCTTATATGTGTATAGTAAGAACATAAAAAATCTTCTTTTAAAAAACCCAATGAGCTAGAGCTTAGATATTTAGCATGAAACATCTTCTTATGGGTGTCTACCAAGTTTGTTCAAATAAAAGCCCTTGGGTTAAAATTGGCCCTGCCGGAGGGGGGGGGGCAGGTCATTGTTTTTCATTATATGTGTGTAGTAAAAACTAAACATCATGAAACATCTTCTAATGGATGTCTACCAAGTTTGTTCAAATAAAAGCCCTTGGGTTAAAATTGGCCCTGCCGGAGGGGGGGGGGGCAGGTCATTGTTTTTCATTATATGTGTGTAGTAAAAACTAAACATCATGAAACATCTTCTAATGGGTGTCTTCCAAGTTTGTTCAAATAAAAGCCCTGGGGTTTAAACTGGCCCCGCTCCGGGGGCCTCTATACAGGTGAGCGACCTCAACGCCATCATGGCCCTCTTGTTATGCTCCCCGAAAAATTTCGGGGGAGCATATAGTCATAGGGTTGTCCGTCAGTCCGTCCGTCTGTATGTACGTCCTGAATTTGTGTCCGGCCCATAACTTTGTTATTTGAAGTTGGATTTTAAAACTATTTCACAGAAATGATCACCATATTAAGATGATGTGTCGGGCACAACATTTGGCTCGCTACCTTGAAGGTCAAGGTCACAGCATGACCTTGCAGCAAAATCGAGTCCGGTCCAGAACTTCATTATTTGAAGTCGGATTTTAAAAATATTTCAGAGAAATGATCACCATATTGAGACGACGTGTCGCGGGCAACATTTTGGTCGCTACCTTGAAGGTCAAGGTCACAGCATGACCTTGCAGCAAAATCGTGTCCGGTCCATAACTTCGTTATTTGAAGTCGGATTTTAAAACTATTTTACAGAAATGATCACCATATTGAGATGACATGTCACTCGCAACATTTGGGTCGCTACCTTGAAGGTCAAGGTCACAGCATGACCTTGCAGCAAAATCGTGTCCGGTCCATAACTTATGTACGTCCCGAATTTGTGTCCGCCCATAACTTTGTTATTTGAAGTCAGATTTTAAAACTATTTCACAGAAATGATCACCATATTGAGACGAAGTGTCGCGCGCAACATTTGGCTCGCTACCTTGAAGGTCAAGGTCACAGCATGACCTTGCAGCAAAATCGTGTCTGGCCCATTACTTTGTTATTTGAAGTTGGATTTTAAAACTTTTTCACAGAAATGATCACCATATTGAGACGACGTGTCACACGCAACATTTGGGTTGCTACCTTTAAGGTCAAGGTCACAACATGACTTTGCAGCAAAATCATGTCCGATCCATAACTTCGTTATTTGAAGTCGGATTTTAAAAATATTTCACAGAAATGATCACCATATTAAGACAACTTGTCGCGCAACATTAGGGTTGCTTCCTTGAAGGTCAAGGTCACAGCATGACCTTGCAGCAAAATCGTGTCCGGGCCATAACTTTCTTATTTGAAGTTAGATTTTTAAACTATTTCACAGAAATGATCACTATATTGAGATGACGTGTCGCGCACAACATTTGGCTCGCTACCTTGAAGGTCAAGGTCACAGCATGACCTTGCAGCAAAATCATGTCCGGCACATAACTTCATTATTTGAAGTCGGATTTTAAAAATATTTCACAGAAATGATCACCTTAATGAGACATTGTGTCGCGCGCAACATTTGGGTCGCTACCTTAAAGGTCAAGGTCACGGCATGACCTTGCAGCAAAATCGTGTCCGGCCCATAACTCCGTTACTTGTAGTCGGACTTAACAACTATTTTACAAAGATGATCACCATATTGAATTGACATGTTGCATGCAACATTTGGGTCGCTACCTTGAAGGTCAAGGTCACAGCATGACCTTGCAGCAAAATCATGTCTGGCCCATAACTTTGTTATTTGAAGTTGGATTTTACAACTATTTCACAAAAATGATCACCATATTGAGACAATGTGGCATGCACAACATTTGGGTTGTTTTTACACTTTGAACTTTGTCTGTGACATAACTCTGACACTACAAGAGGTATACCTTCCTGTGTCCAAAACCTATTCGGGGAGCATCACCCAGTTCAACCGGCTCTTGTTTTTTGTAACTTCTACATTGGGTGTTTCCAGCATTCCTAATAAAATATTCAGTTTGTATCACTACCCTTAGGTTATGTTGCCTGCTTTTGAAAAATACAATTTTTTTAATGTCGGTCTGTGATATGCAGATATTATAAAATATGTTTCTTTTTCAAAATTCCACTCATGTTTTTATGATCCCCCATCATCCTTTGTTGTGGTCATCATCAATTTCTTTTAACAACATCTCCCCTAAAAACAATGACTGCACTGTAATCACACTTTACAGAATGATCCTTGGGTGGTCCCCTGCCAAAGTTATTCAAATAGTTCTGGTTTGTTGCATAAGTAGGTCCCAGGGCCAGAAAAGTTTCAAAAATGCAACCTTAAAAAAATTTTTTGTCTGAAAGTACAAGGCCCAGAGCTTTGATATTTGGTATATGATATCATCTTTAGATCTTCTACCAAAGTTGTTCAAATTTAGTCCCTAGTGTCAAAATTGGCCCTGCACGAAGGGTGGGGGGGGGGGGGGTCATAGGTTTTCCCTACATGTATATAGTAAAAGCTTATACATATATAAAAACTTCAAAATCTATTTGTCTGAAGGTACAAGGTGTAGAGCTTAGATATTTGGTATATTATATCACCTATAGGTCCTCTACCAAAGTTGTCCAAATTATAGCCCTGGGGTCAAAACTGGCCCGCCCCAGAGGGTTGTAGGTTTTCATTACATGTTAGATATTTGGCATGAAGCATTGTGTAGTAAAACTGTTCCAAAATTGCTCTAGATATAGCCGTAGGGTTAAAATTGGCCCCACATTGGTTACATGTAAATATAGTTAAAAAAAACCTCCTCTGAATTGACCCTTGCTCATACAAGTGCCTAAAGAATAAGCCTTGCTCATACATATACCTAGGGAATAACCCTTGCTCATACAAGTGCTTAGAGAATATTGTTACCCTTGCTGACACGTATCACTAGAGAATAACCCTTGCTCACACATGTGTCTAGAGAATAACCCTTGCTCATGCAAGTGCCTAGAGAATAACCCTTACTCACACAAATGCCTAGAGAATAACCCTTACTCACACAAATGCCTAGAGAATAACCCTTACTCATGCAAATGCCTAGAGAATA